TTGTAGTTTCCCACTGCTCCTGAAATAAAAGTTACACTCCCGACCCCAGCTCAGATTTCCCTGGTGGCTCAGCTGGTAGAGAGTCCACCTGCAGTGCAGGAGACCTGGGTCTGATCCCTGAGCTGGGAAGATCCTCTGGAAAAGGGAATGGCTACCCAATCCAGTATTCTGGCCTGGAGAGTTCCATGGACTGTATAGTCCATGGTATCGAAAAGAGTCGGACAGGACTGAGTGACTTTCACACACCCCAGCTTACGAGGTCCCATGTGGCGCTGCCCTCCCCCGGTCCACCTAACCTCAGTCTCCTTGCTTACCATGGTCTGGCCAAGTTGGCTGTATCCTGTTTTCGCCTCCACTCTGAACAAATGTTCTTTCTTCAGAAAGGCCTTCTCCAAACTGCTTAGGTAAATTAGACCTCTCTTTGTATCATATAACTTTTTTTTTTTTTAAAAAAAAAGGTCAATATTTTTTTTACTATGGTAAAATATGCATACTTCCCAAATGGCACTCGTGGTAAAGAACCCACCTGCCAATGCAGGAGACTTATGAGACAAGGGTTTGATCCCTGGGTTGGGAAAATCCCCTGGAGAAGGAAATGAAAACCCACTCCGGTATTCTTGACAGGAGAATCCCATGGACAGAGGAACCCGGAGGGCTACAGTCCATGGGGTCGCAAAGAGTCAGACACGACTGAAGCAACTTAGCATACAAGCACCCAAAATATGCATGCCATAAAAGTTACAAGCACACAAAATATGCGTGCCATAAAAGTTACCACGTCAACCATTCTTAAGTGTATGTTTTAGTAGCATTAATTACATTCACGATGCTGTGTGACCATCACCACCAACCATCTGCAGATGGAACTTTCATCATCTTGAAAAGGAACTCTGTACCCATTAAACAATATTTTTTCATCCTGCTTCTTCTTCCAGCCCCTAGTAACCTCTATTCTAATTTCTCTTTCTATAAATTTGCCTATTCTAAGTAACTCATATAAGTGGAATCATGTGACATTTGTCCTTTTGTGTCTGGCTTATTTCATTTAGCGTCAAGTTTTCAAGGTTCATCCGTGTTGTAGCATGAATCGGAATGTCCTTCCTTTCTGAGGCTGAACAATATTTCACTGTATGCCCATTCCACATTTTGTTTGTTCGTGTGTCTGTTGATGGAAACTTGGGTTATTTCCACCTTTTGGCTACGTGAAGGATGCTGCTATGAACAGTGGCCCACGAGTATCTGTTCGAGTTCCTGCTTTCAGTTATTCTGAGTATCACAGAATCTCTGGAATTGTGTCTATAAAACACCCTAGGACCTAAAATTATTTTGCTTATTCCTTTGTTTGCTAACTTGATTTCCACGTCCTCCCATGTCTCCTTGGATTCAAGAACCTTGTCTGTTTTGGTTCATGGTTGTTATCACAGTGACCAGCTGATGGTAAGTGCTCCATAAACATTTTTTAAATGAATGAATGGATGGATGAGTAACACTGCAGATGGGCCAGCCTGTTGGGTACAAGACTAGTCACTTCTAAAATGAGGACATTGCTGAAATGCTAAAATGTTGACAGGCATTCACAGACATTATTTAAACATTTTTCTCTTTTGAAAAAGCAAATCAAAAGTTACAAAACTGACATGTGTATCACCATCTACGGAAATGAGAAATGCCTATGCAATCAACATAGCATCAGAAAGTTGGAGAAATCAGAGGAGTATTCTGCCCACCTGTCAGTGTGTCTGTGTTGCTGGAACCAGGTAAGGTGAAGGTTTGGGGGGCTCTGGGCCAAGGGGCCAGTCTCCCCCAGTCACCCCTGCCCCCAAGTGAACACGTCTCTGCCGGCCCTGGTCATCTATCTGCACTGCTGTGAGGAGGAAGAATATTTCAGGAGAGACAGAAGCCCTTAAACCCCAATGAAACCACAGTGTTGGTGAAGCAAAGTGAGGGGAGAGGCTGGGATCCCAAATTCCGCCTACTCGCCCCTCCGTGTTTGAAACTGGAGCCGTGTCATTTGTCCCCTTCACTCTTCGTGTCATATGCCTTTCTTCAAGTCAGCTGGAGGTCCCACCCCCCATAATATATTCCCGGTACATAAGTACCCTTCCTTATGTGTGTATGGGTGTGTATATGTGTGCAATATTGTGCTTTATAGTAATATATATATATATATATATATATATATGTTCTTCATCCCAGCTTCTGGCACAGAGCTCCTAAGTGATAGGAACGATAAAGCTGTCTCTGGATATTCATAGCAAACCACTTTCAACCACACCTAAGTGTGCTGATGAGGTGACTTTTAGAAAGCACCTGAGGATGCCGGCTGGTTACCAGGGAACCAACCAGGATTAGAGGGTTGGATTTTCTTTCTGCTTTTTCACTTATTTATTGAGCCTTGAAGAGGATGGGGTTTGGAGAACATCAGGTTGGAGAACGGGGAGGTACCGGTGGAGTGGGGTGCTCCTGTGGCAGGGGTAACGGGGGCGGGGAGAAGCTCCTCTCCCCATGCCTTGCCCAATGCCTCTCCTCCATCTAGCTGTCCCTGAGTTATATCCTTTTCTAATCATCTGGTGATTTAGGAAACACAATGTTTTCCTGACTTCTGTGAGCTGCTCTAGCAAAGTAATTCAACCTCAAGGAGAAGGTGATGGCTTCTGACTCATAGTTGACAGATCAGATGCTCAGCAGACAACCTGGACTTGTGATCGGCATCTGAACGGGAGACAGGACAGTCTTATGGGACTGAGCCCTTAATCTACGAGATGCAACACTTTCAGTAGACAGTGTCTGAATTGAGTTAAATTGTAGGATGCCTAATCAGTGTCCACTGAGATTTGAGTTAATTGCCTGGTGATGTTAGGAAATGAATTACACAACCTGTGTGTGTAAATATGGGTGTGTATGTTTCTGGATGTGAGTGCAGGCATGCATACATGTGTATACGTGTGTGGATGTGTTTACCTGCAGAGTCTTTGGGTTCAAACTCAGTTCCAGTTGGACTGTGCCACTTACAAGCTTGGGACATTGGATAAATCACAGACTCTCTGAGCCTCTGTTTTGTTTTCCATAAAAACAGCTAAATAGAAGCTCTCCCACTGCAGGATCTGTGAATTAAATGAGGTGATGTCTTTTAGCACTGCCCACAGGGCTGGGGTCTGGCTCACCATAAGTGCCAATAGATGATGGCTGTTGCTTTCATTTTTTTCAGTTTATTACTCAAATTCCTGGCCAAGATTCATGTCGTCAGTCACTAGTTAAGCTCAGTAAACCACATTCTGCTTCCATTCAGTGGGAGGTGGAGTGCAAAGAAGGGACGTCAGTCAAAGAAATGAGAGAAGGCTTGATTCGCCAAGCACGTCGTAGAAGGGCATGTTTTCTAGCCATCCTGTATTTTATATCTATTTCTTCACTGAATCCTCACCTCAGCCCCATGAAGGTGGCATAATGATGCCCAATTTCTAGATGAGACACTTGAGGCTCAGCAAATAAAAGGTCAGGTATCCAGCCAGCATGGAGCCGGCATTTGAAGCCAGGCCTAGGGTCTTTAGGGTCAGTGTTCCCCATGCTCCCTGACAGTACAGCATGGTTCGAGGACCAGCCAATGACACTGCTGCAGAGACTGTTCCAGGCAGAGGACCCAGGGAAGAGAGGGAAAGAATGCACTTGATCCCAGAGGGTAGAGCTAATGTGAAGAAGGCAGAGATGAAGACTGAGACTGGAAAGGTGAGCAAAGACCAGATAACACAGGAGTTTGCAAACTACACTGATGAGTTTGGAATTTTTCCCAAGGCCAAGGGTTTCAAACAAGGAAAAGAAGTCAGATGGGAGCTCATGGAAAATGACTTTTCACATTCAATAAAAATAAACCTTAAGTTACTCCAAGAAAAAATCTAGGAGCAATGGCAGTGGCCTGGGCTAGGAAGGATGACTCTGGGAAGCGTGCCTGAGGAAGCAACAACCTCTGAGTGCCTACAGGGTCCTCACACTGATCACAGTGGCCGCAGCATCCTCCTCTCTAGGAGATGGCCGGAGGCTGGGATACAGCTGCCACCTCCCTCTCCCTCACTGCTCTGAGCCAGTAGGTCTGTGCTCCAGGCAGGAATTCCAGAACCAACACAGATGTCAGTGTAGGGCCTGGGTACAGTGGCCTCAGGGCCCTCCTGGAGAAGGAAGGTCAACAGAGGCACGGGTACCACGCTATCAGGAAGACACGCTGATCGTGGCAGTATTTCCTGTTCTGTGCTCCTATGTTCACGCTTCCTTTATCCAGGACAAACAGGTAGCCTCATGCTATAAATAGAAAATGCTCGGTGGCAATCTGCCTCCTTGGGGTTTGTGTTTCAAAAACCCTGAACTTGGGACTTCCCTGGTGGTCCAGTGGTTGAGACATCCCCTCCCAATGCAGGGGGTGCAGGTTGGATCCCTGGTCGGGGTACTGGGGTTCCACATACCTCACAGCTAAAAAAACCAAAACAAAACAGAAGCAGAATTGTAACAATTCAATCAAGACTTAAAAAAAACAACTCCACATCCAAAAACTAAATAAGTTCAAATCTTAAAAAAGGCCTGAATTTGAGGTTATTATCCTTCAGAGAAGAGAGAGCCAAGTGCCTCTGAGTGCAATGAGATGGAAGATTCCCCAGGACGGGGGATGGGCAGAGGCTGGCTGTGTCAGGGGAGGTGGCTTGAAGGGGGACATTTAACTTAGGGAGGCTAGCCCCTGGCATGGTAATATCAAGGATGCCTTCTATCAGGGTGCACAGGAAGGACATGGGGAAGATCAACAGACCCGTGGCTGGAAGGATGCCCGGAAGACCCATTTCAGTGGACAGCTACCATAGTGGGCTGCCCTAAACCAGAGGGGTCCCCTCACCCCAATAACTACTAAGACCAAATTTCCAGTCACCTTGGCAAGAATGTGGATGCAGGTCAGATTTAATTAGACTTTATGGACATAAAATAAGGCAAAATTTCTTGCATGGTCAAGTTAATGGAGTGGATTCATACCTCGAATCATTTATTAATAGGACATAATCAGGAATTCCATCGGGAATTGTCTGGTTGCTAGGAATAGAATTTTACTTGGAAAAGTTCGCATAAAAGTAAGCCAGTCAACAAGATACAGAGCAACCTCACAGTCTCGGACTGTAGGAAACATGCTGGGCTCAGGGGAACCAAAGATTTCTTTCTACATCTTTCTGTGGCTCCATGCTTGGGGCAGCTTCTCTGATCACGTGCTCCACCGTCCCTGGAAGACCCTCATTGTCTTCAGGTTTTTGCTTCCTGCTTCAAGCTCGTGTCCAGCTCTGCTTTATGCCCTGGGGAGATAGGGCATGAAATGATAAAGACCCAGGTCACATCCTCTCTACTGAACTTTATTACTGCCCCTGCCAATGGACGAACAATACAGAAAGATAGCACCAATGTAGACAAATTCTGTATCTGTATCCTTTCTTCTCTCCTCCCCACTAATATAGTTGGTGTGTTTATATTATTGATTAGAGATCCATACTGAAGATTTAAAATAACACATGGACCTTGCAGCATATGATCATAAGGTCTCAGTGGAAATCCTTCTCAGTATGCAAAACTCATGTTAGATTTATTTCTTACATTCTTCAACTTTTGTGCCAGTTCCAAGAAATGCTCCATTTTGGAGTAAATACAACTTATTTGGAATTTTTACTGGAATTTCATTATAAAATTTATCACATTTACATGAACAAAATGAAATGGTTTCTTCTACAAATACCTTAAATTTTCAATATATGTATGATGAAAAATATTTTTTTTTCCTAGAAAACTGGAAGGTATCTCAACCAGCTGCATGCCAGAACATGACAAATACGGGATTTCACTGGAACTCAGTTTCCCCGTCTGTAAAATGGGGATACTACTTTACAGGGTGATGTGAGAATGAAATAAAGTGTGCAGAAGAACAAATGTGCAGCAAATATTAGTTATTCTTTTTCCTAGAATATTGCAGCTGTAGACTAACTCTATCTAATTGATCTATCAATTGATCTAATTGGTTTAAACTCTGCAAAGGATCAATCTAATTGTTATGGAATACGTTTCTTGAGGGTCAAGACTCTTTTGGAATCTGGTCCAATTAGCTTGACGGGTGGGCGGGCTCCTGTGGTGCAAACATGGCTGCCCAGGCCAGCCATGTGGCTGGCTGGTGAAGACAGTGATTGCCACGAAACTGAATGGGTAGTTCTGCAGCAGCACGTGTCTGGAATCAACACTCAGAGCATTTAGAGCTGGAAAGGCAACTGAAATCATCTGGCCCAGTTGTTCCAGTTTTACACGTTTAGAAACCAAGGCTCTAAGAAACATGGTGACCCACTTGGGGTCACACAGTGAACTGAGGCAGAGGCTCCCCCAAATACACAGTGTTCTTCCTACCTGTCTCCATCCAGTGGGGCAAGAGCCCTCCCACCAAACCACCTTCCAGGCCCCTGTGAGTTCAGTGGTGTCACAGCCTCCACCTGTCAACAGCCTGGAATCCCAGGCTGCAGGAAGTCTTCAGACTCCCAGCCTGTTGCTGTCCAACCCCGGCCACCTGTCTAGCCAGATCCCACCTGTGCCCTCCAGCCGAGCCGGTCTGGTTGCCACAGGTGTTCCTTCCTCTCCACCTTTGCTCATGGGGCAGTTTACTGGAATGCCGCCTTCTCCCACACCCATCTGGGCTCCACAGGCCACCACCTCTGGGAGGCCCTCCAGTCTCTGTGTCTTTTCCTCTCTCTCGACTCAAAAGACCACCGCCTGCTCCATTCAGGGGATTCATAATTATATACTACGGGCTTGTTTTAATTACCTCTTGAGATTGGAAAACTTATCTTACTCATTTTGCATAAGCAAAGCACCCAGGGCTGTGTTAGGTGTTTTGAAGGTGCTCAGTAGACATCTGTTGAAGGAATGAGTAAGTGAGTGAGTAAATGACTGAGTAAACAAACAGAATGATTGGAGTGACCGTCAGGTGGGACCCTCTCTTGCCCTCACTACCCTGAGAGTTGGACCCTCAGCAGCCTTTGTGGCCCTTGGATCTCCTGGGAAAGGTGGAGAGGGCCCTGGTGTAGACCGGTGACCGCAGCCCGTCACGGAAGACTCACTGGGATGGGTCAGCCTGGAGGCCTCACTGACCACTGCCCACCAAGGCTCACCCTGTTATCGCTCCCATTTCACCAACAAGGAAACTGAGGCTCAGAGCTGGAAGGGGGTCCCTGAGGGTCACATGCAACTTGTGCCTGCCCGGGGACTCAGACCGGGGTGAGGCTGACCCCACGGCTCTGTCCACCCATCTCAGGTGCACGCCATGTGTGAGCCCCAGGCATGCAAATGAGCAGGACACACCTCTGACCTCCAGGAGCCCGCAGGGGCCTGGTGAGCTGTGGCTGGGACCAGCCCTGAGCACACCACTGAAAGCCGGGCCCCGTGTGCCCAGCAGAACAGAGGCTGGACAGGGGGTGTGGGAACACGAAGGACAGCCACAGGGAAGCCAGAGAAAGCAAGCAATCCCTTCCTCTGCGCAAAATCTACAGGGTCCCTAGACCTTCCGAACTTCCCCATAAGACAGCTGGACTGAGGACAATGAAGCCTTATTTACAGGACAGCACACAGTCAGAGGGTTAAGAGAATAAGGAGACCAGTGTGAATCTTCTTTCCCAGGCTTCTCTCCACTAACCACTTCTCTTTCCGCTGTCCTACAGGGAAACCCAGGGCTCCCCTGGTGGCTCAGATGGTAAAGAATCTGCCTGCAATGCAGAACACCTGGGTTCGATCCCTGGGTCAGAAAGATCCCCTAGAGAAGGGATGGCAACCCACTCCCGTATTCCCCACTGGAGAACTGCATGGACAGAGGAGCCTGGTGGGCTTAGGAAACTGAGGCTCAGAGCTGGAAGGGGGTCCCTGAGGGTCACATGCAACTTGTGCCTGCCCGGGGACTCAGACCGGGGTGAGGCTGACCCCACGGCTCTGTCCACCCATCTCAGGTGCACGCCATGTGTGAGCCCCAGGCATGCAAATGAGCAGGACACACCTCTGACCTCCAGGAGCCCGCAGGGGCCTGGTGAGCTGTGGCTGGGACCAGCCCTGAGCATACCACTGAAAGCCGGGCCCCGCGTGCCCAGCAGAACAGAGGCTGGACAGGGGGTGTGGGAACACGAAGGACAGCCGCAGGGAAGCCAGAGAAAGCAAGCAATCCCTTCCTCTGCGCAAAATCTACAGGGTCCCTAGACCTTCCGAACTTCCCCATAAGACAGCTGGGGTGAGGACAATGAAGCCTTATTTACAGGACAGCACACAGTCAGAGGGTTAAGAGAATAAGGAGACCAGTGTGAATCTTCTTTCCCAGGCTTCTCTCCACTAACCACTTCTCTTTCCGCTGTCCTACAGGGAAACCCAGGGCTCCCCTGGTGGCTCAGATGGTAAAGAATCTGCCTGCAATGCAGAACACCTGGGTTCGATCCCTGGGTCAGAAAGATCCCCTAGAGAAGGGATGGCAACCCACTCCCGTATTCCCCACTGGAGAACTGCATGGACAGAGGAGCCTGGTGGGCTACAGTCCATGGGGCTGCAAAGAAATCAGACACAATTGAGTGACTAACACACACACAGACAGACAGGGGAATCCCATTCCAGAGGGTCAGCTCTTGGTTTTCAAACATACCCTTCCTGATTTGGCTGCCCAACCTTTGCCCGGGCCATTCCCCAAGCCTGGACACTTCCCACCTAAACTTTCCAAGGGCCCAGCTTTGTAGGACACAACCCTGATCTTAACTTCCTCTCAAAACCTCTCCAGGTCTCCTCCAATCTGAATAAACCCCTCCTCTCACCCCAAAGAACCTCTCCCTATATCATGCTCTGATTTAATACTTTTTTATTATTTTTTAAAATTATTTTTTAATTGAAGTACAGCTGATATACAACTTTGTGTTAGTTACTGCTCTAGAGCAAAGTGATTCAGATACACACACACATAGTCTTCCCACGTGGCGTTAGCAACGAAGCCACCTGTCAATGCAGGAGACATAAGAGACTTGGGTTCAACCCCTGAGTCGGGAAGATCCCCTGGAGGAGGGTCCCACTCCAATATTCTTGCCTGGAGAATTCCACAGACAGAGGAGCCTTGCAGGCTACGGTCCATAGGGTCACAGAGTTGGACACAACTGAGGCGACTTAGCACACACACACACACATATACACATATACATATATGTGTGTGTGTATGTATTTTGTTGTTGTTTAGTCACAAAGTTGTGTCCTATTCCTTTGTGACCCCATGGACTGTAGCCTGCCAGTCTCCTCTGTTGATGGGATTCCCCAGGCACGAAGACTGGACTGAGTTGGCGTTTCCTCCTCCAGGTATCTTCTTGACCCAGGGACTGATCCCACATCTCCTGCACTGACAGGTGGATTTTGTACCATTGAGCATATATATATATTCTTTTCCATTATAGTTTACCATAGGAGATTGAATATAGTTCCCTGTGCTATACGATAGGACTTTGTTATTTATCCATTCTATATACAAAAGCTTCACATCTGCTGACCCCAACCTCCAACTCCATCCCTCTCCAACTCCTCCCCCTGGGCAAACACCAGTCTGTCCTCTGTGTCCATGATTCTGTTTCTGGTTTTCTAGACAAGCTCATTCACATTTCTTTAAATGATAACACAAGCTCAGGGCCCAATGTCTGGCTCAGACCACACTCTCCGGAGTGAAATGGTGTTCCACAAATTTTGGCAGAATGAAGGTATGAATGAGTGGTGGCCCTTTCACTGTTGTAGAGGGGATTCATTTCACTGAGATGGCCTACAAAGTCTCCAGCCTGGAGACAGGCCCTGAACAGGGGCCTGTAATATGCTCAGTGCCATGAAGTGGTTTGAAGCAATGCGGTCTCCTAGGCCACACCCGGCCAGCATAGCTAGACTTCCTGATCGGAACAAATGCCAACACAAAGGCTCCAGCAGGCCCAGTGCCAAGGAGCTGCCCACTGATTTCAGATAGAAGCAAAGTCTGTGGCCCTGCAAGGCCACCCTTCATCCTGCCAGCTTCCATCCCCGCCTCGCCAGCTTCCTAGGCCCACAGTTTCAGGAAGAAAAATGAACAAAACTCAGGTTCAACCAGATGGTCAAGCTGTTTTTTTATTCACCACTTGTGGAGTCCTGGGGCTGGGCTCAGGAGGTGTGGCTGCAAAGCAGCCCAGGGTGGCTCACAGTGAAGACTAGAGGCCCTGGGTCTAGATGGATTGCTGGCCTTGAGGGTACCAGATGCTGTGACAAGGCCTGGGCAAGGCCATCTTCCTCTCCAAGGCTCAAATTCCTCACTTACAAAGTACAAATAGTACATTGCCATATGTTAGTCTGTAGACAAATACTGACTTGGGACATATAAGACAGACAGAAAAAGGATAGCAATGATTATTGTATATTTATATCATATATGATATACATATTATATATATATTACATATATCAACAACACATATGTATATCCATATCTATAGATCCCTCTATATATTATGTAGGCAAATATACAGACATAGTGACATGGTGATATTTATCCCCATGTTAGGTTTTCAATTGTCTTCCCTTAAGAAGAATTTTGGCCTTTTTTCTGAGATTATGTCTCTCCTTTATTTTTTTTTTTATTTTGTGGTTGAAAGGGCTAGGCTTTTTGTTCTTCATTCTCTCCACCTGGAATCCCTAATCCACCCAGCTGTCCACTCACAAGGCTCATTCCCTCACCAGCTTCAGAACTTTACTCAAACGTGTCCTCCTGGACACGGAGGAGGAAAGGTTCCCTGACCTCTATTAAAAGTTACAGCCCATCCGTGGTACACCCGGTCCCCTTCCCTGACCTGTTTTTCCTCCATGGTACTTAGCACCACCAGACCTAATATTTATTTCCTGGTTTGGTCCATTGTCTAACTTTTCCCAGGAGGACAGGGAGTTTTGTCCATTTCATTCACAGCTGTATCCCAGAACCTGAAATACACAGTCAACCCTCAATAAATATTTGTCAGATGAATAAACAATTAAATGAATATTTGTTTTTTTAATGTGTTTCCTTGACAAAACTAAAAATAAACAACTCACTTCTTTTTCAGTTCCTGAAATCAGGCATTGGAAAGGAGAGGATTTTACAGATCTGTGAAATCGTTAAATCACAGAGCAAACGCATGTGAAAGTTTTGGTAAAATTCTAACTGGTAATAACGATTCCACCCGTCCTCCTGTGCCCCTCCCCCACCTCCTCCCCTCCTTTCCTCCTCGGTCCTTATCTCTCCTCACCAGGACTGTCCCCAGCCCTGCAGAACTCACAGGAACTCTCAGGCCTCTCAGTTTGCCTAACTCATTTAGTTTCTTTAAAAACCCTGATTATAGGCCTGGCTTGGGAGAACCAGACTGTCAACAGGCTGGTAATGAAAGCTGTCCTGCCTGGCAAACTCAGGCACCTGTGTGGGCAAGACTGCATTTATGATCCCAGGCCACAGATGAAATCAAGGAAAGGCTCTTGTTAGTTTATCTGCTTCTCAATCCTGGGCCTGCTGTTTCAGGAGTCCAGGTGCTCAGCGCTGAGAAGGTGCCGGCCTCTAGCAGGAAGGCCTAGGGAAGCTGCTGGCTGACACACGCTGGCCTGAGAAAGGGGCGGGGGGGCGGCTTCAGGACCCTGGACGAAGTCCAGAAGGAAGCTCAGAGACGACACAGACTGACCAAGTCAGTGTGCAGCTGAGCAGACGAGGGTCCGGAGAGCCTGGGACTGACTCAAGATCTCACTTGGAGGGACTTCCCTGCTGGTCCACTGGTTAAGAACCTGCCTTCCAACACAGGGGATGTGGGTCTGATCCCTGGCCGGGGAACTAAGATCCCACATGCCGGGGGGTGGGCTACTGAGTCCCCTCGCTGCAACTAGAGAGAAGCCTGTGCACCACAGCGAAGGGTGCGCGTGGGGCACTAAGACTCGATGCAGCCAGAATTTAATTAATTAGAGAGAACAATCTCACCTGGAAAGGAGAAAACTAAAAACCTGATGTCTTTTTCCTGATTCCCTGTCCAGCACCCTCTGACTAGAACAAAAAGGACTTCAGCCCTGGGCCCTGCAGTTCAGAGAAGCCCACTTGGGCCTTCCTTCCCCACAAGTGAGGAGTCTCAGGGAACAGAGGAATCTGCCCAGTTGGAGCCCACAGACCTCCCCTCCAGGTGGAACTTTGGGTTTCTAGGACTTTGGGATTCCCACTTACGAGTCCGAACTCACTTCCCAGGCCTCTGTAGGCATCTCACCCATTCCGTCTTCCCTTGGGTGGCCAGTGGGTGCCACTTGCTAAGTGAGGGTGGAGGGGCGTGTGTGGGCTGCTTCCCAGAAGCCGCTCACAGAGCCAGAAAACACCGAAGATGGGAGGGCAGCTGCCATATTCTGGGGTAAAACTGCAGAGTTAGGCCTAACTCCAGGTCACTAGGAAGCCCTGTCACGTTAGGCCTTAAAACACACTGTAGTTGGCAGTTTCTTCACTTGATCTGTGACTTTTGGAATAAGTAGACTATGGTTTATGACCAGATCTGGGATGAACCTGCTCTCTGGAGTCTACACTGCTCCTCGGGACCTCCAGTGTGCCCTGCTGGGGGAGGGAGACCCTCAGGCCTCTGGGAGGAGGGAGCAGACAAACAGCAAGTTAACTTTGAAATGACAAAAGGCGGGGACAGAAAGAGATGCATTTGCCCCACCCCACCCATCGGAAAGGCCCCTTCAGCATGTGCAGGTTTTGCTGGCTGGACATCTGCCTGGCTGCTTGACCTGGCCAGCTGAGGTGGGCAGGGGCTGTGTGCCTCTCTTCCTGACTACTGCTACCATCCAATCCTCTACCATGCTGTGACTTCTCAGGAATAAGCTTGATTTAAGGGGGTGACAATGCAGGAAATAAAAGCTGGCACCAGATGTGCCAATGGATATGACCCTGGAAAGGGGTTTCCTGGGAAGTTAGGCTTCCCTGTATCTTTCCCTGGGAGCTCCCAAATCTTTGCTAAGTTAATTTCCTATGGAAGGGAGACTTCTACTCTGCCAGAGCTTCTGTTTAATTGTTTCTGATGAAATGACCTGAACCAGGGTTCTCTATCAGACCTACCCTCCCCTATTTAGAACATCTAAACGGTGGTCCCATCTGTTGCTTCAATTTCCTCTCTTTCCATCTCCCCTCCCGGTGCCCTGGGCTCCACTAACAGCTTCCTAAGCAACTTTTGCTTTTGCACATGCTGCTTGCCCTGGGATGCCCTTTCCCTCTTTTCTCCATCCGGCTGAAAAGTTCTTCTTCGGGAGCCAGCTCAGACCCCATCCCCCTGGCCTGGCCCCTCCCAGTTGCCCCAGCCGTCTCCTCTGTGCCTCCCCTGTTCTCCCCAAGACCCTGTGCTTCCTTCCATAAAAGGACTCTACACTGAAGGCTGACAGCTACCTGTCTGTCCCCACTAGAGAAACTAGTGAACAACTTGGGGCAGGGACTAGATATTTTTCTTTTCTTTGTCACTGCACAACTCAAGTCTGGAAGGCAGTAGGTGCTCAGGAAAGGTCAGCTGAGGGCGGGAGCCCTGGCTCTACAAGGGTGTGATCCCAGCGCAACCTTATCTGCTATTTACCGACAGAGGACTGATCAGAATAGCTATTATTATTCCCATTTATCACTCCGGAGGCTGAGAAGCACTGGACCCTGCTCCTCTCTGGGGGCCCGGGTGTTTGCAAAGCAATCCTGGTTTTTCCCCTGCTTGGCTGGGGGCTGGGAAGCCACACATCACTGGCCACGTGCTTCCCAACCAAAGGGCAAAGTGGCCATTGACTGTTTTCTCAACAACTGCCAGACTTTGCCCCAGGGCAAGGAGGATGGAAGGGTGAAATGAGAGAGCTGGCATGCAGAGGCCAGAGACCCTCCCTCTCCCAGGGACTGGCAGAGGCCCAGGCGGGAGCTGGGTCCAGCCCCAGGGACACACCAGCGCAGGGCTGGCGAGAGAGGAAAGGTCGGTTGCAAAACCCCGTGTGTGGCAGCCTGACTGCTGAGTCATGCTCCTGAGGCCAGTCAAGGACCAAAGTCGGGGCTGCGAACTCAAAGCCGTCCGGTTAGCCTTGAGCCTGTTGATTCCCTGGCCTTCCACGACTAATCCTTCCTTGGGCCCGACTAATCCCCTTTAGTAGAGCACAGCTGTTGTTCTGGGGATTTTTTCCCCAGCAAACCCTGCTCTTTGGATGACAGGATCCTGGTGTTCCATGGAGACCCTCTTCCCCACCACTCTCAGACTGAAAGAAGTCAGATTCTCTCCTCCCAACTCAACACTAAGGCTGGTCACCTGGCCCAGGCTTAGCCAATCAGAACATTTTCTCTTGCCCTTAACTAGCTCCAGGATAAGAATGTGGTGAATACAATAACCAATGAGCCTCAGTTCCAAGATAGTCGCACGTTGCATAAAAGATGCTTTATTTTCAACAGGAATTGCTAGCTCTCTGGAGCAACTAGAGACTCTGCATGCCTGCTGGTTGCCTGAGAATAAGGTCACCCCAGAGACAAGCGAGGCTGAGAGAGGGTGCAAGCGGGACACCCAGTCTTACAGTCATTTGTGAAACTCAAAACATACCTCTCGCTTTCAGCTACGTGGACTAATACTTGCCTCTTTGCTTATGCATGTTTTAAAGTTGGGTCTTTGTTATTTGCAAATAAATGACACCAAATAGCACCACCTGGATAATATTTATTCTATCTTCTGTTTTCACTCTATGTTCTAGCTTAAACCTCTTTGTTGGCCTTAGCATCTCTACCCTGGATTATTGTACCAGACCACCTACTAATAACTATAACAGAGTCATAGTAGTAATGAAATAACTGCTATATACATGCACTTCCTACTTGTTATAGCGACCCTTCAAACTGATACTCTCTTTGGCCTGCTGAAGAGACCGAGGGTCACAGAGATAAGGGGCAGTTAGCAAGTGGCAGGGCTAAAATTCAGTCTTCCACAGTCTGACTCCAAAGTGTGTGCTCTTTGACCACATCCTCATCCTGCTTCATTAAACTCTGCTGCTGCTGCTGCTAAGTCGCTTCAGTCGAGTCCGACTCTTAGCGACCCCATGGACTGCAGCTCAACAGGCTCCTCCATCCTTGGGATTTTCCAGGCAAGAGTACCGGAGTGGGTTATCATCATTTAACTCTAGGCAGACCTAATTTCTCCCACAACAGTAGCAGATTTTGAGGGTAGAAACACTTTGGTCCTTTGGAAGCACAGAACCATGAGCAGTCAGACTGTCGGTTATCCTGGACTTCAGGGACACTTTTTAGGGGCACTGGCTCTGCTTTTAGCGTATCCTTTTTCTTTCCCCCAAGATCCGTACTCGGTTTTGCTGCCATGCTCTGCTTGCCCAGGCTCAGGTTGCCTAACCAGCACTGGGCAACCGCTGTGGTCAGTTGCGCTGGTTGGGTTGCCTTGGGTTGTACGTTCTGTTCTTAGTTTCACCCAAACCATATGGGCAAAAAGTGGGGAGATGATCCCCGGGCCTATCAAAGTGCTGTTACCAGAAGAGAGAGCTGCTCCTTCTCACCCCTGCCCTAGACCTCAGCCATCCAAAGCAGCAATCATTTATTAATATTTGCTTTTGTGGGGTGCCAGCCCTAGGCTGAGCACTGGAAGGACAAAGAGGGGTGAGCACAGACTTGTCACTGATCCAAATGGTGAGGAGTTCGCTGTCTGAGAATAAAAGTATCATGGGCAAACTATCAAAATGCTGTAGAATGAGGTGATAACCAAGGAAGCATAGAGCACCCTTGAACAATTCATTGTGCTTGGGCATGGGAGAAGGGGCATGGGAGAGCCATACTGAAGAGGTAACATGTGAGCTAGGCTTCAAAGCGTGTGGTCATTTTCATCAAGAAAGAGTGGTGGGGAACAGTGTTTCTGGCAGAGGGGAACAGCATGTGCAGAGGTACAGAGACATGAGAAATCTCGTATATTCTGGAAAGAGTATAGTTGGGTAACAATGCAAGACAAGGAAGGGGAAAAGGGGCTTTTTAGCCTGAGGAATAAAGGGGGGGAAAAGCATAAAAGCAATCACTATTAGTTAGAGTTTAGAGTGACTACCTAAGCTTTGCTTATCCCAAAAGGAAGTTGGTACCTCCCCAACCCACAGCTTCCCTTGGGAGAGGAAGGCTTAATTCAAACAAGATGAAGAAATGCCTGGGGAGCTGAGCGTGGAAGCGAGAGACCAAGATAGCCTGAAACCTGCGCAACGGAAAGGGGGCTGCAAAGGAGGGGGAGGCCACGGGAGGGACAGGTCAGTTGCTGAATTCAATAAAATCTTCCTTGCTGAGCCCTCTCTTGGGCCTTGCAAAATACAGAGATCAGTAAGGCAGGGCTCACAGGCTGGCTAGAGAAACACACAAGGCGACAGCAAAGACAATGTGCTGCGTCTGTGGCTTGGGGTGTCCAGCAAGTGTCTATGGGGCACCAGAAACACCTGCTCCAGGCCAGAGGCAAGGAAAAGTCCTCTTAGAGGAAGTGACATTGGAACTTCCTCTAAGTTGGATTTTAAAGAATAATAGAAGTTTGCTGCCTAGAGACTGAGGAGCTCTTATCATTCCCTTATCCCCCATCTTATTAAAACTGCACATGGTAGCTACTTGGCCAACACCTGTCCTGCCTGCTGAATTCCAGAGCAGCAGAGATTTTACTCGTCTGGTTCACTGAGTTCTCTCCTAGACGTAAATGAGCACCTGGCATTGAGTAGGGTCTCAATAATGTGTGTGTGTGCATGAGCGAGCAGCCTGTGCAAAGCCTCAGCAGACGGTGCAGACAGAGGCAGCAGCAGAAAGTATGATTTGGGATAAGGCAGGTGGGGCAGGCAGAGTCCAGGGCAGAAATGGCCTGGATTGCCTATTTGAGTAGTTTGGAGTTTAGCCTTTAAATGGGGAGGGACATGATCGGATTTGTATTCACCCACTTAGAAGCTCCAGTTTGATCCCTGTTTGGGAAGATTCCCCTGGAGAAAGGAATGGCTACCACTTCAGAATTCTTGCCTGGAGAATTCCATTGACAGAGGAGCCTGGCGGACTACAGTCCATGGGGTCACAGAGAGTCAGATATGACTGAGCGACTAACACTACTACTATTATTTATTTGACAAAGACTTATGGAGTACCTACTATATGCCCAGTGCTGTGTTCGACCCTAGGGATACAGGAGCAAGACAAGCTCCTTCCTCACAGGAGCCAACATTCTTGTGGGAAAACAGAAAACTTGTAAGCTATTAAGAAATAGTGTATCTTCAGCTAGTGTTGAAATGCTAGGTAGGAAAATAAATACAGGTAAGAGCCTAGAAATCATTAAGAGTGGGCAGTTTCAGAGCCAGATGAGGAACACATCAGATACAATTATATTTACTGCAAGGAGCAAAAGACCTGGTTCACAAGTAGCTTCGTGTGTAGGAGTTTATTTGTATCTCACAACAGGAAGTTCAAGAGGTAAACACTCCGGGGCTGGATGGGGACTCAGGGATGATGTCAATAAAACATGTTCCTCCATCTTCTTGTTCTATGCTGTGAGCTTTATCTCTGATGTTTTAATTTCCCTTAATGAAGAGTTATGCATTACACATTTACTTCAAGTTCATAATTAAAGACACAATGTTTTGCTGACATATAAATTTCTCTATCCAGAAAATTTCAGAAAAGTCTGATGCTCACAAAAATGACTGATAGGCGTTTGGGGCAGTGGGAAATTGGAAAAAGGGCCAAAGCCATGTCTATATTGATAAGGTAGATGACTGGAGGGCACTAGTATGTGTGCAAGGTATTTAATTCCTATCCTGAGCAAATTCAGTGGAAGCGGGTATTCAAAACCAGAAATGGTCATGAGTGTGTAAGCCCTGTCTCCCCACATCTTGCACAAAGAAACGTTTTAGTGAGAGTGTCAGGCTTCCTAAATGTAATAGAATGGGAGATATGGGACAAGCTGACCGCAGCTGACTCTTGGTTTAGAAAGGATCACTCTGGGGCAGTGGGGAAGAAGGATGTGAGGAGCAAAGTCTGGAAGCAATAATCCTGGGAGAGATGGGGAAGGCTGCCTGGGCAGGTGACAGGAATGGATGCAGGAGCAGCTTTGAGAACTACGGGGTAGAAAGCTGACACTGTGGCAGGTCAGATAGAGATGAAAGAAGGGCGACGCTGAGAGGAGGGGGTGCGTATGCAGCTGCAGGAATTGGTGATCTGTTCCCAAGTCCCCAACATTCTTGGGCCACCCTTTGGATTGCTTGTCAGAGGCGAATTCCAAGATGGTTTTCTGAATGCTAAGGAGTTCCTCGGGTCAACCTGTCCTTCTTCGATTGGTGGAGCCAGCCAGTCATGCATTCAAATACTCCCTGGGTACTGGGCATTCACTAGCGTCTTGGTAACCAATGACAAATCTGTTTAAAAAACAAAACAAAACACGGTGCAGACATTTAAGGAACTTGGGGGAATGCAGGCCAAGGAACCCAGGCCTTGGACCCCAGTTACTGGACTTTTGAGTTGGTTACTGTTTAGGGGAGATTTTGTTGAGAGGTGGTAAAAATTGCTCTAAAAAACTTGGGGCTGGGAATTCCCTGCAGTCCGGTGATTAGGGCACCTCGCTCTTACTGCCAAGGGCTGGGTTCGATCCCTGATCAGGGAACTAAGATCCCACAAGTCATGTGGTACAGTCAAAAAAGTAAAAACGAAACTAAAAGCCAAAAGAAACAATACCCTTAAGTTCATGAATATCATCTCCTAAACAAGGAAGGGAGGATATTGGTCTGAGAAAGCTTCCTTCCTCACAGATTAAGACCTTTATTTTTCTTTAATGTAACTAGCTAGACTGGTTTCAGGTAAACAAACAGTCTATGC